CGAAACAGCAGCAAAATTCTCACCAGAGTTAATTGTGTTTGTACATTATTTTTTTTTATGTGAGATGTTTCATGCGTGCCTTTCTTACGCATAATGGGTGCCCAGCACTGCATTTCATTACGCAAATATATGATTTTATTTTATGTTTCACCCATTTCAATTTTTGCCCGGCACATTATTTGATAGTTTTTCTTCGTGTGAAATGTTTTTAATTGTGCCTTTTTTGTCTAGAAGCATATTGAGTGCCCGTCATTGCATTATATTACGCAAATAAATGTTATTCTTTTCTGTTCCGGTCATTTTAATTTTTTTGCCGGTCCGCGAGTACTTTTATTTTAATTTTACTGGTACGCCAGGGTAGAAAGCTTGGGAACCACTGGACTAGAGCGTTTAGACTGGAAAATATTAGCTCACGGTTCAGCGCCCTTCGTCTTTGTGTAGCAGGCAGGGTGCAAAAGGTCACACCCCGAATTTAGTTCTCTAGCTTTCACATAATTGAAATTGGAAAAGACTATCTGCTTCACATCAGAGAAGTTCGAAGACAAGTTTTTTGGGGCCAAATTCTGACGATGGATTATACAGTGGTTCATCCTAATGTGAGGATATTTCCTTGAAAGAATTCCCAGAACTCCGATAGTCTTTCCCATCATTGATGGGACACCACCCATACTACATTCAATCACTTTATTCCAGTCTAGGTTATTTTTAGTGAAGAACTTACCAATACTACTAAAAATATCTTCGCCGCTTGTTGTGATTTCAAGTGAAATGCAAGCAAGCAGTTCATCAGTGATTGAGCTCTCTTTCAAAATCTTCCAAAGATCAAGAGCTGTGCTTGTGCTGTTGTATCATTTGACTCATTCACTGCCAGGGCTGTCCACGGCGTATTTCTAAAATCTGTTCTTTTAGATCAGCTGCGATAGTTTGAATGCGTCTTGTTGTTGTATTATTACTGAGAGCAGAATCATTAACAGCTTCATGTTGCCGGGTCTCATGTAGTTTCGTACCTAACATACTTCTACTGGCTTAGCATGACAAATTTTTCACGTATAAATCCTAACCCCCCCCTAATCCTAAGTTTTGGATGGCGTAGTCAGATGGGGGTTAGGATTGACATATCAGAATGTTATGCTACGCCTACTAGAAGTACGTTAGGTACGAAACTACACTGGACCCCATGTAGTCTACCTTTCCAGCAAGTAGTTCACCCTCAAATACTTCACAAAAGTCGTTTAAAGCAGACTTTATGATAGTCTCACCCTCAGTGAAAGGTCGCTTATGCTCAGAAATAAGAAAAGCTGTCTTGAAAATATTTCAAATTTTTCTTTTTGCCATAGAACTCTGCATAAAACTGCCTGCGACTTGATTAAACTTTCAAAACGCTAATGGAAAACTCTCTTGCGGGCCTCTTCTAACATGACAGCAATATTTGCATGAGTTTTCACGTGTCTCTGAAGTTTATTAGGTTTCCTCGTTAAGTTCTTGAGAGCACACAACACATATTCCTTTACCACTAACGTCAGCAATACCGTACTTCATCAAGAAATAATGAATTGATAGAACGTTTACGTTTTTTGGTGGAATTTCCAGTAGGTGTTGGACTATTTGGTTGTATTAAGTTATTGGATGACTATGTATGTAAAGACTAATTATTAGACTCTTGAAAGTATCACAATCCTGGGTATCTCACCAATTGCAATCACCTACAGACCTATCGGTACTGATCTACCAGCAGACCGGTACTCAATAATTGCAGATGAATAATCGATATACAAATATGAGAAAGGATTTTGGTGAGATGGGATGCATGCCCGCTATTGACTCCAAATCGTCTGCTTATGTAGCAATATGCGGGAAATGAAATACTTTGCAGTAATGCCACGGTTAACGGACGACAAGTTTGCATCTGGGATTACAAAGGCGATGGCGTAGATCAGGGGTGGCCAACCTGCCTCGGACCGCGATCGACTAAAATCTTCAAATTAGCTCGCGATCGACTGATCGGTAGTAAGGTCATACATAAAAACGAGTACTGAATATGCAGATAACTGCACACACGCATACAAAAAATTCCACCACTGCCAATAAATAAGCTCAGCTCTGTGGGCGCATTTTTAAACTATTTTTTATGTTTTTACAATGAAAGTGCCCAGCAATTATGATCCACATGATGTGGAATGTTGTACTAAATATCCCATACTTTGGGTCAAATGACTTCTTAGTTTACCTACAAGAAATTGTTTTACCTCTTTTCATTGTTGGTTACTTTATCACTGTCTCCAACGACCAGGCACATGTCAATGCAGAGCACCAGGATAACACCGCAGGACGTAGTCTTAATCTGAGTATACTTCATTAACCTCTCACACCATGAGTGGTTCCTATTTTCCCCCTATTTCCTGGGAATATCTACTCAAACGCGATACCGCACACAAAAACTAGCCTCCTCCCGTTTGTCATTCCATCTACTGCGGTTACCCCACCAGTGGTGCCTGGAGTCGTTCTCCCAAATCACCACGACCACGAGCGATACTGGAAACACCAGGTCGTTCGAACGTACCTAAAAAGCCGGTTTTTTTTATTAATATTGTTCGGCTTCCTTTTTTTATGATTCTATGTTAGACTCCCTTAAAGGCGACGCTGCTCTATCACCAGGACTGGTATATCGCGTCTCCCTTCATGCCGAAATACATCATTTTATATTTTACCTTACTCTTTCGTATTTTCGGTATGTGCAAAAATAAATTACTGATTACTGACTGATGAAATGCTAAATGAGAATTCGAGCGATCTTTTTAGTACGATATATGCATAAAAAGTGTGTAATGTAACATGATATAACCAGGTCAATTCATAACGTTTTTACACATTCATTTCATGGCGTATTATTGTTTTTGTTTTGTGTGTTTACTGTTTTTAAGAACATTGGCTCCATTAATTATATGGGCCTACATGTTTACGTTTAGTCAGTTAGTGTTTTCCTGATAGTTGTTTTTATAATTGCCGAGCGCAGAATTTGCTGGCAGTGTTTTGATTTGTTTGTATGTGGGTTGATTCACTGTATCACATTTTCACCAATGCCAAATCAGTGTAGTTTTCATGGTTTTTGACCCTTCTCGTCACCTTATCACATTACATTACAGTTACACCTACACACGTTGTATTTGTATCAGAGTAAATTGGTCCTTATTAGCTTGAGTATTTCAAAAGTATAAAACAGCCCGAAAGTTTATTACATTCGCGTATTTTTTGTGTGTTTATTTCTGGCCCAAGCCTTGTTTAACAAGATTTTTTTTTGTAAATGCGTGTTGGTGAGCGGCCACATGAATCGTAAATCAGTTGTACATCTTGTATACTCGCTTACCTGCCACGCCCTGTACATAATTTGTCCTTGTTTAATTAAAGTTGTGGTGTATTTCCACTTTAGGCATAACTTCTGAAAAAAAGAACGAACGTTCTTCAGATCAGGTAGAGCTCATTAAAAATTATCTGATCTTTTTCCATTTTTTGTTATAGAATATTGATTGTTGTTTAGAGGTTTTTGACTGAGATAAAGTAGCCTTTGCCTACTACAAAGCGGTATGAAGTCTACATCGAATTTTGGAATAGCGCTCATTTTCTAGAAAATTTCATCTTCTGGAATCAAACCTTTGCGTAAAATAAGTTTTAGTCAAATCCAATATAAGTTGGAAAGCCAAAGATACAAAAGTGTATAGGAATTTAACATGACGAAATCATTTAGAGATGGATATGCTATTCGCTTTGAAAGGAACCAAGATGTTATGCATAGAAATTTTAGTTGATAATGGCTACAAACCTACAATAATATGAAGAACAGGCAAATCTTTGCTGAATAATCCGTAAATCATGTAGAAGCATATTTTTTTTTATTATCATAGCCTCGGCAGTGCTAATTCCTATTCCGAGCACGGTGCCTCTCATTTGAAGATGTGGGTGGCGCTATTGAGCCATTGTCTTCATGCAAACGATACTCGTATAATTTAGTAGTTTGCGACTGATTAACTTTTTTGATTGCTGTCCAAAGCGTTTATTTTTGAACGTGAGTCTTTTTTTGTGTAATGATTGTCGCAATGAGATTGAATAATTATGTTCTCAAAGAAATAATTGTGATATATCTCTTGAGTCTAGACTTACATCCAATAAAAGTACAGTTTTAGTATCAAAAACAAGCTCCAAACATACTTCTTGCTTTACTTATTACTGCATTTCTCAAGGATTCTAATACTGTTTCAAACTATGTGGACGTGAAACGGTGGGAAGTTCTTCAACCCTTGCAGTTATTAACTATTGCAGTTGAAAGCCGTCTCCTTACATATGGGTATTGGAGTACGGGTTATGAAGAATAATACATTTGATTTTATTTCCGTAGAAAACATATATATATATATATATCCAATTCTTGCTACTTCTTTTGGGTAAAAATGTGAACGCATTGCGTCCACACATACAGAAAATAGCGGTGTTCATATACATACTTGCTTGCAATGTGTTAAGATATCTCTGGTGATTTGACTATGTTGGGAAATTACATATTCCTTTCATGGCGCTAGTTTAGATAAAACCGACTCAAAGTTTTACAGAAACTGGATGGTGGTATTTTTGCTGCGCTTCTCTGGGTCAAATATAATAGACTAACATTTTTCAACGAACGCGACGTTTTTATAGTCACTCTCAGTAGTAAATAGGGGTATTCTGTTTTATTGAAATTCCTATGGCTTACGCATATTATACATATAAAATAGGAAGCAACAATATAGGTTGCATAATATAGCGATAAAACTATTATAACTTTTCGTAAAAATGTATTTTTTTACCAAATAACTTTGATAACAAGATTCAAGGCGATTTACCAAACCATATAGATCAGTTCAGAAAAATTCCATATTCTCAGTGCTGATTATTGAAGCATTTTGTGTGCCTGTATACTAGCCTCTGCTGATATATCCCTGATCAAAACAAATAATTTTGCCGTCTCTTGGCTGTACACATTTATTTAGTATATAGATAACATTGAAAATATGTTTAATTAGTCACTACGAAGCAGTGTTTTGAAGCTGGAAGTCGAACAATAAGGCAGGCAAGATGAAAACGTATAAGGAAGCCCCAGTAATATTGAACTATTGTCAACAAAAAAACTCAAAACAATTTTTTCTGAAGATAACGTGTCATGAAAAAATAGTAGAACAAAAGTTAATATAAGTAAATAGTTATAAATTATTCGTGTTTTGTGCAGAAAGTATATCTTTTCGTCTTATTGTTAAGAAAATTCAAAAATATATATTTCCAGAGTTAATTGCTTAAAATATTAGATCCCGTACATTGTGAAATCGTGTATAAACCAATTTTGTTTGAATAACTTCTTTCAACCGTCTGGAAAAAATTGCACTTCACAGATGGCCAATTGTCCCTGAAACCATTCGTCCACTAGATTAAGAATCTCATTAACGATACAACATACAATTATAAATTTACACAAATATTGAAGAGAGAAAGTTATCAAAATGAAATACATTGAAAACATCTAGAAACGCACAACTAGGTACATCAATAATACTTATGAGGAACTTATGTTAAGATACGTTAAATGACTAGTTCAGATTATAGATGGGTAAGACGGTTGTTTACATAGGCCTCGGCAACCTGCGATCTAGGACCGTTGCCGGATTTTGACCTTGAAAAATCGAGTGGGGAACTTTCGCTAGATCTGTAAGTCCCATTTACTAAACGAGAACTTGCACCGTGATATGCGTCAGGCGGCAAGTTGCGAACGTTATTTGCAAACATGCGTTCAGCAAATCTTTGTTGGGCAAATTCTCGCGGAGAGCGATGCACGCAATCTGATAAGGATTCTAATGGATGATGAAATTGTGCATAACCGGCATGTTCAGAGCCGCGCAAGTGATTTGATTCTGCAAAAACGGGCTCATGGGCAGAATTCTTTGTTCTTTCATACATTCCATCTAAATATTGTTTGGGCATTGCAAATGATCCGCCATTAAAATGAGCTATTGTTGTTGCATTGTCTACTTCTCTTGGAAAAGACGGTAGTTGTGAAGTCATCGCTGCATCGTAACTTGAACGATTTCTAAAACGACGAGAATCAGTTTCCGGTAAATATTCTGTGGAGTTGTTTTTATTATGAATAACAGAAGATTCTTCATCTATTTCACTGACTTTTGTGGTTGGAGATGCTGCATGCGAAAGAAAACCACAGCCACTTTGGGATAATGGTTGGGTCTCGCTTCCACTGCTTGCCGTCGACCTCACACCCACTTCTGATCCAAAACCTCCTGACGAACGTCCATTTCCCGGAGATAGTGTACCCGTTGAAGACGATGATGATGGAGAAGCCATTCGACCTCCCGAGGAACCTTGTTGGTTAGGATTTGGATAAACTTTGTTGTTCACATCGAATGGGTGGGAGTTAGCTCGAGGCAAAGGTTGGCGAATCATATTCGAGGAATCTATGAATAAAAAGGTCTTATATTTTGTACTGAACAGTTTCATTGTATAAATATATCGCAGTTTGGACGAATTAAAAAGAAAATTGAATAAATAAAAGTGTAATTGGCTAATACTTCATATAAATTTTGTTATCTCAATCGATATTTAGTTGTATATAACCGAAAGATCTATCGATTTCGTTGTTTGGCATCATCTGTAATATGTACAAAACATTGCAACACATTTAAAAAGCATCATGACGCTCTAGAAACTTTCGGATTAGCTAGCTACATAGAATCTCCGACGCTGGGAAGTCTACACAAAACTAATTGACGGACACTGTCCTAAATCCCCGAAGCACGTTATTATGTGCATGTCAAAATTGCATATTTTTATTCTAGTCAATTTATCAATATGCTGTATGAGAATATAATCAAGCTCGGGAAAGGTCTCGTATTTAGAGCGTTATCCAATTTAAACATTTTTTTGGAATTGCTCGATGATAGGTTTAGTATCGCTGATAATAAAAATAATCTTCCAAAGTTGTTATTATGCTTGAGTATTTTGAAAGTAAGATTATTTGCTGTAAATTGAAACATAATTTCCACTAGGTGACAATGTAATTATTAGTATCATTTAAAAAATATCTTCAATAGAATCAATGATACGTTGAACTTTACGGATCGAAAATTTACCAAAACCAAGTTGAATAGGGTAATTTAACTGACAAAAAAAAATCGTTTGGACTCAAAATGTCATAATAATTTATCGTGCTGCTGTAAATGGAACCAACGCAGAGCAAATACCTGGATAGCTAGATCATAAATATATAATATTTTAACTTTGCGTTGCTTAAAGCATGTCGTATTGTTTGTTGAATGATTATGCTTAATATACTACATGAATTTTATAAATTTGAAAAGTCGAAGTTGCAAAAAATATCTTCTACAATTACATTATAAGAGTGCCTTACATTTTTTACTATTAAATGAAAAATGCTCAAACATATTTTTAGTGAAGCTGAAAGTAATACAAATGTTTGCTAAAATAACATACTGAAAGCAAAATTAAATTACTGTTTGGTTAATTTTTAGTTTTATTTATTTTAGTTGAAACTTGAATTCAATAGTTATTAGTATAAATTTTCAATCAATTCTTCCTATACGAAAAGCAAAAATTGGGATGCATTCTGTAATCTCTGGCGCACTGATAAATATCAAACAACGCAAAATACAGATTGCATGAATGTTAGTTTTCTTGTATAAAACTTGAAGCATCAAAAAGATTTTCAAATAGTCACAAAAATAAAATTAATTTTTGTGCTGATTATTACTATATTATCGAAGCAATTTAATTTAAAGAAAAATTTAACTGAAACTTCTGGTTACTTTCATGATTGATAGATCAAAACATTTGGATTTCAATATTTTAATTCATTTTTGTGATATCAAACAAGCAGGGTGTTAGTTATTTTATCGGGATAAGATCATACCTTACCTATTATTTACGCTTTCATCATAGAATAAAATTGTTCAAAACATGATTCAATATATAAATAAATTTGTTACAATTTTTACGTCTTCTAGGATCAAAGTATAAAAAATATTATGCATTTGCTATCTACAGGTCGATAAATACGGTTCAATTTTTTATGTTTTATTGAAATATGGCATTTTCTTATATAATAAAAAGGAATTCATCCTTTATTTAACGTAAGGCTAAATCAATCAGTGTGTCGTGTTGGTGCATTGAGCGTTCAATTGTTTGCACTGTCGACTGTCCAGATATTATACAATGACCGGATAGATCGGATATCAAACGTAACATTCTTGTACTGACGACCTCTGAACATACTTTATACCTTGAACAATAATGAGCAAGTGGACATATGCCTATTGTTCATTCAGTTTTGGAAAATATTTTATATTTATTCATTATCGACTATCTTAATCTGACATGTAAGTTCGTATGTTCTGGATTTGTTGCAACTCACAAAATTACCTCATATTCAGTATTTTATTTTTGAAACCAATTATGTGAGCAAACTACAAATATTCCAAATTCTCAAAAACTTCAATTGATTGAAGTTAAAAAAATGAATTCAAATAAAAAAAATGTAAGGACTCTTAAATTCAGAAATAGCAAACAATATCAATAAAAGTGAGTTTACCGATGCAACATCATTGGATAATACGTCATGTTTATACTGCGACTGTAGGTGTGTGATGATCTGAGTTTTTTTATTCGACTTGATATAATATTTTTTAAATGTTTTATTTATCCTATTGTATAAACGTTTATTACAAAAGTCATAAATTTATTGTATCTCAAACAATATTTGCTGGAATCAGCAAAATTCTTATATAAATATTTTTGTTTCGTATATTAAAAATACTGCCATTACGACAGAATGCTCTTTGTTTACCAAATGTTGAACGATACAAAATCAAGGTACTGAAAAAGTAATTGAACAGAGCACAAATAGTAATTTCAGTGGTTGGGAAAATCAAACCAACCGAGTCAATTTTCTGGATTCTTTTGTCAACGACGTTTTCGTGTGTTCACGCGCTATCATGTTTCGCTAAACAAATTGGGAACGATAGCTGGGGCAGTGATGAAAAAGGGACTTTGGCGAAATATAACTAATGGAACGGCAATTGGTCAAAATCTCATCACGTGGAATTGATCTATTCAAACGCACTACTAGCCGCCAATGCTTCGCTGATGGAGTGCACAGCTTTTCCGATATGCTTGGATCCCAACGTAAACATTGTTTTTAAAACTGAAACATTTGCCTTGTACTTTATCGTTCGTCACGGTTTATAAATACAAGATTAACTATATCTAAGCTGCTGTAGAGTTCTTATTTATAACTGCTATTTTTACCTTGATTAAAATGACTTGTTTGATGTCTGTGACCATGATAGCATCTCCCACCCGACGAGCAGTCCATTCCAGAAGGCAACATAGCAGTTCCTTCGACGTGATTTGAGCGAAATGGACTTTCTGAAAGGAAAAACAAAGAATATGTTTTGTAAACATGTAGAGCAGCAAGCACATCGTGTTAATTTCTGCAGCTCAAAGTCAACTACAAAATATGGCCCCAAGGGTCTATCCAACCGTATACAAAGTTAATCTATGACCCGTGCTATAAAAACTACTTCAATGCTGTACGCCACGAGAGACAGACTTCAAACATGGCTTGTCTTGCTCGCGCTATGCAACGGGAAGCGCTCGGTAACCTTAGTGCCACATAAATTGGTTTGTGCTTATTCAGCGAATTAGTTCATTAAGCCTATATATTTCCAGTTCATTGACTGAACAAAAAGACAATCGTGTTTACTATGTTAGTGTTCTCTACACCTATATACATGAATTCTCAGTAATAATGCTATAATTTATATGTATTTATGCCTCGAAACTTAAGGTACCTTTCTGATGCATGTGTCCTGAATGAGAATAATGTCTGTGGTCATTACTTCTAGAGAATAAAGCTTCTGAATTCGTGTTTTGCGAGTGATGATGTTGGTGATAAAATGAACCTTCCAAGTGCAAAGAGTTCATGGGCATTATCTTCATCTTTTGGTCTTTTTTGTATTTCATGCGGCGATTTTGAAACCAAATTTTAATTTGCCTGTAATATATGATGAATTAATATGTTTTACAGTGAACAGAAAAAGTTCAAATAAGAATACAAATTAGAAAAGTCTTTAAAATATTATCCGATTGTCAGTTTAGAAAACATTCTGAAATAAATCACTTGGGTTTATAGATAAAAATAACATTAGTGTAAAAGCTATGTTCTTATATCCTCTTATAAGTAATTTCAATTTCGAAAAATTTCATATAATAAATGTTTTTTTCCTTATACAAATATCTGTTTTACACAGCGATCCCATGGATAAATATTTGAGGTGTAAGTGTATTGAATCAATATATTATATATTCACCTTTCTGTTAAGTTTAACATTTGAGCCATTTCAATTCGACGAGGTCTACATAAATATCTATTGAAGTGAAACTCTTTTTCCAGTTCTACAAGTTGTGAGTTTGTGTACGCTGTTCTTTCACGCTTCGACGGTTTGTCACTGTTGTCTGTTTCAAATATATAAATCAGTTACTGATAGTTTATAACACACAATTCGTGCATGACCTCGGAAGGTATTGTAATCAGGAAATTCAGACCGAAAAGAAAAAAAAATAGAAAAATTCCTGAAATGACAGATCATTCAAGTTATTATTTTGGTCAAAAATTTGCAACCTACATTTATATATTTTTTCTTTTTTTTTTGGAACGAAAATTCTATTGGCTTTAAAAAAGATAACACGTGTATCACACTTTATTACCATCCAATTATTAAAGTCTTCATATTGGCGATTTTAACTGTTAACAAAAAATGTGGTATTGCTTTTATTATCTAACATTGTAAAACTTTTTAATCATTCTTGTTTCAAATGATTCTTACAGTGTTGACAAAATCTTCATTTAATCATGTTTTAATAGAATTAAGTATCACTAATAGTAAATTCATCAGAACTTACAAGTTTAGATTTACATTCAGAGTTTTTTCTCTTTTTGAAATATGAAACATCTTATTTTATTGGATAAAGTTGTGAACTTAATTTCAGTATTCCGATACTTCTTGAAATATTAAAAATATCTGTTTATCATATCATTGCATTTAATTGCGATTGCCTTGGGAAGGCCAGTTGGGCCCAAAAGTATTACTAATAAATAATAATAAAAAAGATTTAATTGATTTGATGTTTCACTCATAAAAATAACTCTTTCTTTTTTGACCTACTGCGTGTTTCATTTCGAATAGAATAGAAAGCGTCAGAATTATTGCAAAACCTAAACAGCTATGGCATTTTAAACAAATCAACGTTGTGGCTTAAAATTTTAGTAGGTAAATTTTTGGCACTTGTGACACATCACGACATAAATATGATACGATAATTTGCGGTGAGAGGATAACACCTTTTTACTTTGTGCAAATTAAGGAAGCTGTATCAGACACCTGTACAATGAGGACATTAATCATTCTGCCTGACAAATTTAACCATAACTACCAAGCCGTCAATGTTTCTATGTTTACACAATAGCGCTTAGCGAGAAGATAATGATGAGTACATGTATACGAATGGATTTTATACGAATTTTATTTCCTGTAATATCGAAATAAGAGAGTTCAGATATTCCACTAATACACTTTATAGCGCGTTTACAGTCTACAAAAAGAATGCCTCATATTTGATCGATCATGTGAGAAAATTGGCAGAATTTTTGAAGGTCATTAGCACATCCGTTTATTTTTGTTTTCGATTAACCATCTCTTTTGAATCGTTTAGTAAAGCTTGTCCGTAAATCCGTCGATATTGAAGCTTCAAACACTAATCTTAATATATAAATACTTAGCGAGTGCAGACAGGTGTTCTAATTGTTTTTACCGACTGTGAGGTTGTATGGATCACATAAAACAAATAATTATACTCAAAATATGGTTTTTTTTACCGATCACGTTTAAACCACGAGACAAGAATGGGAATAAATTTTGAATTATATTTAATTCAAGCCCAAGGAATTAAGTTCAATGGTTCTCAATCTTTTCCTTTTGTAGCACATTTTCGTTGCACAAAATTCGATGACCCATTGAATGCTTCATGCAAGGGAAAAACTACAAGAAAAACGAAAAATTATTCCCTTCGCTTCACTAAATTTAACAATTAGAATGAAATTTACAAGTCAGTAGAAACAAAAACCGCATATTCATTCACTACAATTACACAAATGAGCTGAATTTTTCAATAACACATGCAGTTTTTAATCTATCTATGGCCCGCCTGAAAATGGCCCTGTGGCCAAGCAGTGAGCCATGGTACACTGGTTGAGAACCAGTGAGTAAGTTCATATAGGTATGTACGTGAAATAAATTCCAAACAAGCGAGGAAAATTTTTTTTTTTCATATAGTAAGGAGAAATAATGGTATGAAAAAGTCCACATCGACAAGTTGAAGTTGGTAAAAGTAGTTCTTCGAATTTAGCGAAAATATAATATTTTAATTTAACAACGTGGATTTCTGAACAACGCAAACAACTTCAGAATGAATTCAAATTCATGAGACCAGGTCTGATTGGGCTAAGAAAATATTTAATCTGGAATAAACCTTACACTGCTTTATCTTAACTTGATGTTAGTATATCATTCTTTGTTTATATGTTGACTAGATTAAAATTTCATAATGGTTTTAGATATTGCTTTCATTAATTAAGCAATATAGAAATGGACAAAGAAAGACGCTATTTGATATTAAATATTCCACCAGTAAAATGACAAAAAATGTTTTTCCATTTTATCAGACCAAGGTAATATTTAAACTTGTTTATCAATTCAATTATTAAATTCCACACAGAATACTATTTAAAAATTACGGAGCATAGAGTATAAAATTGTACCATTTTTTTGCCGTGTAAAATTTACTTCTGTTTATTGTAATTCAACCTATTCTAAAATTTCAAAAATTTATACATACTAATATTAAATCATGAGTTGACTCTCTGAGTCAACTGACTCTCTGAAAAACGACGCCAAAAATAATAAACTGACTTACTTGAAGCATTGCTGGATGTACTATGTTTTCGTCTAGCATTTTGCCGTGATTCTTTCATCCAGGGATAAATGTGTTTTGCGGTAGAGTTGCTGTCCTTGTGTTCGGAATTTATTTTATCTGACTCGCCATTTTTCTTTTTATTATGAGAACGATCGTCTTCGCCGAAAACGGTGGCCTCGTTTACCCGCACACTTTCCATATCATCATCGGTCTCGTGGTTGATGGCTTTCTGTGCACAGCTGACTAATTCATGATCATCAGCCTCAGATTTCTTATCGGTAGATTTTGACTGATGATGAAATTCTTTATTAGAGTTTAAATCCATGTCTACTGACATATTTGGGCCGGAGTTTATCGAGGCAGAAGGCATATTTCCCGATTCAAAACTGTCGTTTGCGCTTGATCTGCGCACGAAGCCTGAGTTCTGATCTGGAGACATTAAATCCTGAACTAACGATGACAGTCTTACCGAGGATATATCGGAACCTTGCGTCAACCTGGCCGTAGATTTGCCCACCTCTTTTAATAAGTTTAAATTTTGTTCTTCGCTAACAGTTCCTTCTTCCGGTACGTTTATTATTGTATTTGCCTTGTCCTGTTGAGAATCGTATTCTCCGACGCTCTGCTCAGGCTTTTGAACATGGCTCGTATGCCCAAAATTCGCCCGGGGGCTTAAGTTTTTGGCCTCGTCCGTAGCACCACTTCTGGAAGTCATGCGATTGCCAGCTTGCGTGTGAGACGCTACGCCATTTTCAATTCCACTGACCTCGGCATTTACGTCGACACCACGTGACTTTGACTGCGTGGCTAGAGTGTTGCTACTTAGGCTTCCCCTTATATTGCTACTATATGTAGAATGATTTTCAATATACTGTTTATCTTTTTCGGGACTGCCAACATATCTGCTATGACCTTGCCTTTTTTCTTGTTGGTTCATTTCCGCATCACTTGGTGCAAAACTTATACTCGCATTCCTATTAACCTCAGTTCCAATTTCGCCTACAGAACTTATTCCTTGCATTGTACTAAGGTAAGTTTCTAACCCATCGCAATTTTGCTCCCCGGACTCAATACCGGAGTTTACATTGAGACAAAAATTATCGCTCAGATCATCGCGATGTGAGTCGAAGGCCGCCTTTGCTAATACCGTCAGACCCTGTTCAGTGGTTGAGCAGAATTCCGATGACAGAACATTCGAGCGTAGAGATGGGTTGTTGTTATTATCGTCTGACAAAACAGGGTCGACGCGTTTGTGGCCATCATACATATATTGATAGCTACACATATTATCTGGTTGTTGAAAGTTTTTGCTTTTGGTTGAACCTCTGATTATGCGTTTGCGTCGATGGACGATGAACCGTTTTTTGTAAGTTCACTAAGAAATTGTTTTTTCGCAATCTGATCTTATTTCTTTGACCGTTGTTCCACACCGACGATTGATGGAAAGGTTTTTGCACACGATGTAGTCTTGCTTTATCTTCAACTGTATAAATCTTTGCAACTTTGGTGCTGGGATTCTGAGTTCTCTCACGTTTATTTGCTGCTAGACTTGCGTTAAACAATGTGGAAAAATCATTCTTATCGTTGATGTATTCTAATTCTAGTTGATGGTAGATGAGGTTCAATTGCTTCACTCTGGATTTAAATTTCTTTGCATGACCTGTTGATCAAAATAACAGAAATAAAATCAAGTATTTTACTCACCAGCAGCAGCTGGACATCGTGATTTCGTTTAGAACATATATTACAAATTGTCAATCCAACTTTACACGGTTCGACGGTAAACAAACAAAACATTTACTTGATTCGTAAGATAACATTATTCTAAAAACTTATCTGAATCGTATAGCTACGTACTTGCAGTGAATCTTTCAAAGTCTTGATCTTTAGACAGTCTGAATAATAAAAAAAACTCTTCTTAGTAAATCGGTGAAATTATGTCACTTCAAACTGGCAAAACATACAAGAACTGGATTGATTGCGATAGCTGATGACTACTGACTTTTGCGCGATTAATATCTCGACCGACAGATTTTTTTTTCGCAATCTCATCTGTGAATTTTTAATCACTCTCCAGACATTTCGTCGATACAAAAAGCACGAATTCCCATTTTTGAACAAAATAAGGCGCGGCTTTATGCCATTTGTGCCATTACGATACTAGTGATTTTCTACTTGTTTGATTTCTCCCCCGTCGTTCGGAAATAATCAAATAAGATACAAAAATCAATGTTCATCATTCAGTACAGAGCAACAAATGTTGACGGGCGGTCCGCAACACCAAGAATACAAAATTGGATTATACCAAATGCTTTTGTACTCTTTAGAAAACAATGTAAATAAATTTGCATAATTCTATTAGGTCATGTTATTCGCTGTTTCAACCAGAATGTTCAGATCCTATTTTATCAAATTACTTTATGAGTCGTGGGGCGTCCAGGCGCCAAGCATAAATATGTCAGCATGTGTCCCTTTTCATCATATTGTATCGTCCCACTGGTGCTACACTATATATGTATAAGCATCGCGTTTTAACGGATGCTATCAACATATGGATTACGTAAGACACACCAGGACTTTTTTAACCATATTTTTTAAACGCTTTCAATATTATTTGTTCACTATCGATACTATGTAACATTGCTTGCCAGTGTTCAGTCAAAGCAACGCTAGCAAAATTATACGCAACGTCTTAAATTCATCAATCAAATTTGATAACGGAAGACTTCGTCGTCATTGGGTTATATATTTCCAAATCTTGGACTGATTATCATATTATTACGTTTTCATATTTGCATGTGTTGCATATCGAATTTATTGTTGACATCATGCGTGACCTCAGTGAGATGGTTTTTATGCGAGGCAATCAATAAATAATTTGCGAGTAAAAAAGTATTACGACAGAAAACTAATTTTTACGGTAGAATATATTGATGAAATTCGAATACTCAACATGAAAAGAAAAATAATATTTTAATGTATACGATAATACCCTACACAAATAGATCAAATGGTAAATCAGGATTAATGAAATTTTGAAAAAAGAGGTTGCAGCCTATCGCTTTTGCAACCTAGGAATGGCAAAATATAGCGGAACTTTAAAAACCTGATAATTAGTAATTCTTTCCAGTCGTAATAGGCTTAATTACTAGAGGGGAACATACGTTTTTGACAAGCATAAACACGTTGATGCATTAGCTAGAGAGCGATGATGAAACAACATAATTGAGTGGGATCGGTGCTAAAATGAAACCACCTCACAAAAGGAAGACTTTCTCAATGTTCAATCAAAGACAAATTGAACAGACGAAGATTTGCACTTCTCATACAAAGCAGATGACATTCACTGAATTCAACAATTAGACTTTTGCGCTTTCTGTTAGGGCGTATTTGGTAATTCACACTTAAATTTATGTCCTCGTTTGATTTAATTTTATTCACGCATTTGATTCCTTTTTTTTTTATAGTAAAAGACATAAAAAATGTTTTTTGAACTTACCGATGATATTCCATCTTCGAGTTGCTCGTTACTTATTCCCAACAAAAAATGTTCAGCAATATTGTCTACGTATTGTGTTAGTTTACTCTTTAGTATTTAACTCATCTAGGACGTCTTTTCCAAAATGACAAATGTTTTAAACGACATTTCAGGATGATACCAAATATAAGGTAATTTTTTTTTCACGAGACAAACATACAGTATTGAAATTCATGAAATGTTTCCAAAACATGAGTCATAAATGTACTGCATGGCCATAAATACTAAGTAATAATTTGTAGCAACTTTTAAATTACATTAGTAAAATTTCGCTATTTTTGGAACCGAGTGAACTATCCGAATAACTCTATTATACACTGAACACTAACGAATATGAGGTTTTGTATTATTTTTTTTACTTCATAGCACAATAGAAATAAAACTCATCCGTGTAATATTCAAGTCAAATACAATATCTAAAAACCACATTTTAATGACTGAGTCCTTATAAGACAAGCTTGATATATCGATTCAAAACCATAAAACTTTTAAAATATCCTATTTCTTGTTGAGCGTGCCACCGACAAGTCAAGAAACAAAATGGCGAGAACTTGGCTTTGGACATTTCATTATCCAACCGTTGAAAGCTGTATTTTCTGTCTGTGTTATCGCTCTACTGAACTGTGTGACAACTTGTTTGCAGATATTCACGTACTTCCTACGCATAACCTGGTTACCTTGTATCATTATTTTATTAAACCATATATGAACACGTATGCGACGAGAAAACTGGATAATTCCTTTTTAAATGTAAATGACAATTTGGATATGCACTTTCAAACGACAAGGCTTAAATAAAATAACATATAAGAAATTTTGTGAAGCAATTCATATAGTTCCAAGTCTGTTGAGTTTTTTACTCTATGAATAGAAGATTGATTCAATAAACAACATATTTCACAAACTTATCATTGAGCTTTCTATCTAAAATCGTAATATACAAAACATGATATTTTTGAAATTATATTCTATCAGACTGAAGTACAAATAATAACTGCTGTGCCAAACGAAATTGAAGTATATACAGCACTCAAATAATTCAATTGTGACTCAAATTTGAGTTGAGCACTTGATACAACCAGACGGAAGGTGCGAAAAAGTTTTCAGCTTGCTCGTTGTCCACGTTCAAGGAGTTGTGATTTGAACATACTTGTTTCTCACATGCCCCAGATTGGGTTAGATTTTTACCAAGAGCAAAGACACAACTGTTTCACGGACGATTAACTAACTTGGCATTGGATTAACGAGAAGACAATCAAAACTGTATTGGAAAACAGTGGCTGGATAAACACGTGATAACTAGCAGTAAAAACGAAGCATTGCCTGCCCGTTGATCAAGAGAAAGACAAAGAAAGTCAGGCGTGGTAGTATCATGGTTCGATTCCTCGCCGTGTCACGACAAGGTCAGATCGTGACTTTTTTAATATTGGATCAGTGCCAGCAAAAGTAGAAATAATTTTAATTGACGTGGGGCGTTTGAATGTTGACGTGTATATATATACTTTACATTAACGAGTTATAGTTGACTTACCTATATTATAAATAAAATATTCTAACATAGCGCAGTTTTAGTCTTAGAGGTTTACGAATGTTCCACGCGTTACATATTGAGTACTATACGGATTTACTCTTCAGTGAAATTGTAATCCACTATGTTACTACCGTATGTCTCATCACAAATTGAGTGTATAATATCATCTCATGATAATTGATAATTTCTTCATTGATTCAGTTGTTTTGGGACATGTTGATAGAGCTAGTGTGATTAATTACTGATTGTAAACTTCGATGTTTTCACCCTGAAACGAACTTGCTCAAGAATGAGATCAAATTTCTAGTTATTTAAGGTTGGGCGGAAAAGTTGACGTCCCCGTTTTATATAAACAGTAACGCAATGCCACTGAGATGACACCACCAAAACGCCGATTTTACCCTATTCGTTTTAATCTCACGGGAAGCAAATTCGCGCCATCGTTCGTTAGATACAAACTGAGCAAAAAGTTCTGGGAAAGTGAGCAGGCTTGCCAGATTTCTTTATCCTTATCACACTTAACGTTCCCACAATCTCACACATCACAAGTTTTACTAGCCTTGTCCTAACAGCCCAATGATAGGCGTAAACGCGAGGTCGTAGCCAACTATTAAATATTGGCTGATGTTGTAACAATCGTCATTGGAATCCTTCCGAGATTAGAATATCTGACTTATATTTGTCCTGGTATGGCATATGAAATAATTTTTCAATAGCAATACGTTACTCAGCTGGGATATGCCGACGACTAATCAATCTTCAAATAGACAACGAGAGGTGATAAAATGTTGTTGATTGATTGATAACAGATACTACACGAAATTTGTTTTTATTAAATATCGTCGATTTGTTATAAATGGTACAACGAGAATCTCTAATGTGTTCATTTTTATTCAACGTAATTCGTGCAAAAGCTACGAATTGATACTCAACGTAATTTTGAACGAACGATAAGAATTTCGGGAATTTCTACAAAGTTTAATCTGATTTCAAAGCTCTACTTATCAAGGTCGAATGAGTGGGGTGTTCTAACTAACATCTGGTAAATACCACGTCAACACTGCCTCTATATCAACGACGGCCCACTTAGTGTTCTGTTTCAAAGGCAGTAGATTTTGATTCGAAATTCGGTTTCAACAACATATGAATATGCTAATTGGCACAACCTTTAGTTTATCCGGTTGTGAAAGCCTATTAAAATAGTTTTTTACATCCTTCTTTCCCTTCACAAATACACGATAACAGAAAGCCGATATCTAATTTTGATAGTCTTCACAACGCCTTGAATAAACCTAGTGTGACTGCAAAAGCCCCAATTTAAAATCAAACACTATAAAGTTTATATCTTACTATTCCTAGTTTATCTCACTGATTACATGCTCAGCAGTTGAATACTACTATTTCATTGTAAATTACCGCCGATTTCTGAGCCACTCGCGCTCAGCAAAATTAAAATTGTATACATGTTTACGGAGTTCATGAAGCATGCAAATTCAATTATAACCAAACTTTGAACTTAATTGGAAATGCATACATGGTATTTTTCGTTTTCGGTCTAGGAATTGTAATTATACCTATTTAAGATCTATCATAGTTGTGTGGGTTGTTTTTGAAATTGGGTCATTTTTAAACGAAGCGGATATATGCTGTGCCAAGAGAACACGTTTTGAGGATTTTGCTATCGATAGTTTATTAGTAACTTGTCCCATGGGGATGAATTGGTATTTTTAGGAATCATGTGAAAGAAGTCACTGAAAGGTTGCTTTATTAGTTATATAATATGCCGCTGAAAGCACAAATTACTCCAGGGACAAAGCGTGTTGAAA